AAGAGCGGGATTCGCAAAAGGGTCGCACACGCTTCCGTGTTTTCACAAAAGTGCCCACAACAAATGTATGGGCTCTTAGTTTCGCTTTCGCCATTGTGCTTATATATTGTGTCATCCTCTCAAAATCAGCAAAAGGTCTGTTTTCATTCTTTCCACCAGTTTGTGCACTAGCTGGACTGGGAAGTGGACGTGCAGGTGGTGTATTGGAAGGTCCGGTCTGACAGATTCATGGCCGATGATTGATGGGGCCGTTTTGGTCCATCTTCAGAGGGCTTTTGGGACGCCTCTCCACTTAGATGCAGCGTCTGATTCTGATGTCGATTCTGTTAGTGTGATTTCGCAGGGTTTTCCAGACATGGTTGAGGAAACAGTTTGCAATATCGCTGCAGAGATCATGAGTTGAAGCGAGCTCGGAATTCTATTGCAGATTCTGCTTTGTATGGTTTGTCATCGAGTTCACAGGGAACAGTGCAGAGTGCTTTCAAAAAGATTTCACAAATGTGTCCTGATCTTGCTTGAGCTTCACGCCAAGAAACTGCAGAAAAGGCACAAGGAGGAGCCACCAGATTTCAGGTCGAAACAGTTCGGCCGAGCGACAGTGAATAGTTTTCCTTTCACCTGTTTCACCTTAGCACAGAGGAAAGATTGCAAGATGGTGGAGACTCGGCCTGTGGGCTCTGGTTTGCGGTTGTTTGGTTGGGTTGGTTTGTTGTTGGGTTTTCTTTGTCCTTTTCTCCATCTGATGTATTTCCCTTCCTTCAATGATGACCTGGAACATGCCCACACGGCGTCCGTACTCGTGGAAAAAAAAAATGAGCTCCTAGTTGTTGCACTTGTTCAGACTCTTGAGGATCCCCGCACAGGTTGGATTCATCTTTTTCCTGCAAGGCGTGGCAACACCCTCAAGAACCGCTGCAAGGTGTGGCATCCTTTTGAAGTGTGGCTTGAGCTTCACAGGGGATACAAGTTTCGTGAAGACACACATTGTGGAAGGGTCACGTCAAGTAATGGACTGCAGAGTTGGATGCACCCCCCAGGAAGCCAGCTGAGATGCACACAGTTGCCATTTTGGTTTCTTTGGAGGCATCAGTCACAGACAATGAAGCAGCCATTTTTGCTAGGGCATTAGCGTGGGTCGTTTCATGCATGGTTTGGGGTGCGATGCGTTGTGACGATGTTCAGTCAATCCTCCCACATCGTATGACCCTTTCGAACTTTGGGTTGAGCTTCATTTCGGGAAGAAGCAAAACATAAGCCGCAGAAAGAGCTGGCGGTCATATCCTGAGGACAGTTTCATTGACTGGTCGGGACTGGCTACGTGTGGGATTGGACATTTGGACTCATTTCTTTGCTTGCTTGTTGTCCCAGTTGGGAACGCCGAAGGCAGTATTTCAAGGCTGGGATGTCACACCAAATCAACTCCTGCTCCAGACGGCTTAGCGAAATTTTCTCAGGGCATTCACCACCGAACTTCATGACTTCGGTTGCTGCTGTGATTGGCTTTTCTAGGGATGAGAGAGCGTTTCTCGGAAGATGGTCAATGGGTTCAGTGGCTGCCGAGGAGTACGTGAGGACGTCTCGTCAGGTAGTATTCAAAATCCAACGCGCTGTGAACAGAACTCTGGTTGAAGGGGGCCCTGAGGATTTCTTCGAAGATGAATTGATTGGGAAATTTGGCAAGTTCGCAGAGGATCACGGTGCTAATCCGACCAGGATTGCGAGGCGCCACAAAGTCTTGAGCAATGTTTCTGGAAAGAACTGCCTGGGAGGTATATACCCCACGCTGGAAGTGGAAACCAAGGATTTAGATTTGGTGGAAGACTTCATTGACGAGGGGCAAGAGGAGGCGGTTGCACGGTTTGCTCAAATGGAATCTTTTCATTTGGCAAAAGAATCAAAGTATTTTGTCATCGTGTCTCGAAGGGCAGGTTTGAAGCGGCTCCACATGTCAGGCTGTCACGTCAAGCCCGGCCGGTGCCTCGAAGCGCTGTATCTTGACACAGTTGATTCCGCAGATTTCGGCTCCATTTGCAGATCTTGTAAAAGGCGTATGCTCGCCGAGAGTGGCAAGGATCACCAGGAATCAAGTTCGACTGCCTCCTCATCGTCAACGGATTCGGGTTAGGGCCTCATGTTTCTCTTGGATGCTCATTTGAGTGTGTTTTGAATTTCTTTGAACGTGCGCTTCATGTTGAATTTTGTGCCTTTGATTCAGTCGTGTTCAGACACTAGTCAGCACGTGTGGAAGCTACACACGGACGCGTGCATGAGAGATGGATTGTGACCGGCTCGGCGCGCACGGTTGGGGTTTCTTTTTTGAGGTCTGTTACGCGCGCGCGCGTGCAATGCTCATTGGTGTTCTGAGTTCGATTCGATTCAACCTGAATGGCCATTTTTGGTTGACTCCTTTATTTGGGAAACTGACCTGTGCCCTTTACGAATCGTGATTTCTTCACAGGCATTTGAGACGTTTGGACGGCCATGAAATTGTTTGGAAGGGGTTGCAATCGCCTCGATCGTGGAATGAGAGTGTCCGTTGCGGGCCGCAAGATGAGGCTCAGGTGAGGACTTAAGCCACACAAATCTGATGGATTGTTTTGACAACCTCGACGCGTTCTGACGTGTTTGTTGAGGTCGTTTGGACGCCTCAAGAACTGTCAACTTTTGCAGGGGTCTTCTTGCCTTCTCTTTTGACCTTGTTTTCTTCCCTTCTTCACGTTAGGGTTTCGGGCTAGGGCCCGCCGGCGCCGGGGCAATGGTGGTGATCCTGATGCAGTGAATAGGGAGTTTGTCTCCCAGAACATGGATTCCGACCTCCAATTCATTTTGGGTGATTCTGTCAGTATTGGGAACCAGGCCGCAATCGCTAGGCGGTACGGATCTTTGAGGAAGTTCTCAGCATTGGGCGATGATCGTGCTTCGATTCGGACCGCGTGCCTGCATGATTTCGCAATCCCCCAGGACACACCCCAGGGTAGGGCTGAGACCGCCGCAGTAGTCTCCTCTTGGGAGATTGCAAAGGAGTTCTTGGCGAAGGAAGTGGAGCTTCGTGCAGAGGCCAAGGTCCTGGGGCAACCTCGCATTTTGCAGATTCATGAGAGGCAGGCCATGTTGAAAGCAGTGGAGGCTGTTTATGGGACTTTGGGTGACTCGGAATGCCCTGCGCCTGATTATCTTTCACTCAAAGCTGAGGAAACTGAGGCGAACGAACCAACCGCCTCACCTTTGGACGAGATCATTAGCAAACAGGCCTCTTCGTTTTCGCAGCTTCAATCCGCTGTTGATTCGACCGGGCTCATTCGTGTGACTCGCGCAAAAGGTAAATCTAAGATGCCGGTCAACACGGAGGAATATCGTAAAGTGATGAAAGTTGAAATGTATGCATGGCTTTCCATGGCTTCGAGGTGTAGGTCTAAGCATTGGTTGCATGGTTTGACTGCAGAACCGTTCACCAAGTTCGTTGAATATATCCTTGGTGAGCGTGTATTGAACATCCAGATTCCGACGACGTCGCCAGAGCAGCAACGGAGAGTCAAGCCTGATTGGACAATCGTCTTAGCCTATGAGCACAAGTTGCGCCGTGAGGCCATGAAGCTGGTAATCAATCAGGGTCATACTTTAGCCGACGCCTTGCCTTCAGTCATCCGTGATGCTGATCTCAAAGAAGCTTTCTTCACGACACCTGTTGCTTTGAAAGCCGCGCATTCTTCCTCTGAAATCCTCCCAACAAGTTTGCTCGTTTTTCTTGGAAAGGTGCATTTTCGAAGGGTTCTCCGTCAGACAAAGGCAAAGGCAAAGGCAAGAAAGGGAAGGGGAAGTCCAAGTCACAGGATTCTCGACTGTCAGGGCTTTCGTTGGCATGGAGGACTCCTGACAATCGTGAACTTTGTTTCGCGTGGAACAATGGTAACTGTGAAGGAGGTTGCAATCGTGTCCATGTTTGCCGCGTGAAGGGCTGTTATCAGGAGCACATGGCCATCCATCATAAAGAGAAGAAGGGTTGACAAATTGAGGCCCCGCTGGGAGCCAGCGCCTCGGAGCCTTTCGTGCATGCCGCATCGACTGCCAATTTGGATGTCGTGTTGCACACACATGTTGCCTCGACTGCCGATTTGAAGGTCATGTATCTTTTTGCTGGCAAACGCCGCCACTCTGACATCGGCTCTTTCCTGAGGAAAGCTGAGGAACAGGGTAGGGTCCGCTTGGATCTCAGAGAGCTTGACATTGGACGGTCTGGTGAACATGACTTGACCGATGATGGCCTGTGGGATTCTCTTTTTGCATCCCTCCGAGAGGGCAATTGGTTTTTGATAGCTTCTCCGCCATGCAATTCATTCAGCAGGGCTCGATTTCAATACAGGCTGCATCCAGGCCCTAGACCGCTTCGAAGTAAGTCCTGGCCTAGGGGTTTTCCGTGGTTGAACTCTTCGAATTCACACATTGTTCAGGAAGCAAATCATTTTGTCGACAAGTGCATTGAAGCTTGCAATCTATGCCATGCCTCTGCAGGTAAATTCCTGTTCGAGCGCCCGGAGGATTTGGGAGTCGTGCACGGTGAACACCCCGGTTCTGTTTGGCAATGGCCTGAGATTCATGAGTTGATAGCATCGACCCGAGCACATTGTTTTGCCGTACATCAATGCCATTTCGGTGCCGACACTCCCAAGCCCACTCGGTTCATGACCACGTTGCACACTCAGGACACCAGGTGTTTGCAGACACTGCCTCGTTTCGATAAGCTTGGATTTTATAAGGGCCCATTGCCCAGGGATTGCGGCCATGTTCATGCTCGCAACCTGATCGGTAAATCCAATGGCGCGTGGAACACAGGACCCTCCGCCTCGTATCCACCGTTGCTTTGTGAGTTTTTGGCTGGTCTCATCTTGTCTGCGCATGCAGCCTCCGGAGGGGGCCCCAAGTCTCGACCATCCAGTTTGCCACAACCCGTTGAACCTAATCCTGCTTCTAATCCTGCCTCTAAGATAAATAGGGATCCACCCGCACTGGAATCACAACCGCCCGCTAAGGTCCCAAGGCTTTTGAAACAGGCTGAAGTACTTGACCTGACTGGTGAGGACGACATGGCTCCCCCAGAGCGCTCCGGTCGATCAGCTTGTGAGGATGAGGTGAGGGCTCAGGAGTCCGACGGCTTCGACATGGAAGCGTGCATGAATAGAGGTCATCCCATGTCCGTCGTGTCCGTTGAATGGGGTGGCAAGAGTCGTGAGTTTGGGGTGAGAGGAGGTCCAGTGGAATGAAAGAGCTCGCCGCAGCTACATTCGACCTCCTTCGTGGGACAGTCCAGCGAGTCATCCAGGACCCTAGAAAGGAGGCCTTCAGACTGGTGACGGGCAAACTTACACACTCCCCCTTTCCTGATGAGGTTCTGGCAGTGCTTCGTCGTGAGTGGGCAGGGTTGCTACCGGATCCGGAGGATGCGTTGGTTGTGGATCAGGGGCAGCCCTTCCTTTTGAGAGGCCTCGCTCAATGGCTCAAAGTATTTTCCGACCCGGACACCAAATGGCTTGTCGACGTTGAGGACTCGTTTGCCTCAGGTGTTTGCCTTGGCGTTGAAAAACCTCTTCCCAGGTCTGCTCAGGTTTGCCCCCCGAAGGTCAAGCATCGCAAGGTGGATGATTCAGACTTTTGCCCGATTGCGCAAAACTATGCATCCGCAGACATGTCATCCTCGGAGCTTGAAACGAAGTTTAGGGAGGAGGAAGCCCTCGGCAGGATGTTCTCTTCCAAAATGGGCGTGCTTCGTGAGCAGTATGGTGACAAGCTGAGGATCGCATCAATGGCGGCCATCAAGAAACCGGACGGGACAGTGCGGCTCCTTCGACGGGACGCGTTCGGTGAAAGTCAACAACGTGATTCGTTATCAAGACCAACTCGAATGCCCCGGCCCAGGGGAGATTGCTTCAGTCGTTCGTACTTCAGTCAAGTCCACAGAGGCCCCCTTTTGCGTCTCAGCCGACATCAAAGCCGCCCACAGACTCGTGAAAATACGTAAGTCCGACTGGGGGTATTTGTGTTGTAGGGTTGACTCTTCTTCTGAGACAGTCTGGGTGAACCAGGTTGGAACATTCGGCATCTCAAGCGCTCCATTTTGGTGGTCGAAACTTTGCGGCTTGATCGGCCGATTCGTGATGTATTGCGTGCAGGACAATTGGCTTCTCCATATGATTTATGTGGATGACTTGCATGGTGCATTCATAGGACAGCATAAATTTTGGCTCCTTTGGATCTGGCTATTGGCCTTCGAACTCGTGGGGGTTCCTTTTGGGTACCATAAGTTCCACGGTGGCTTTGCCTCGGAGTTTGTTGGTTTCCACTTGAGATACGACCTTGCAGAAGTTGGCATTTCCGAGAAGAGGGGTCAATGGTTGCTTGAATGGATTGCAAAAACTGCCGCCGATCGCTTTGTCGTTGTGGCTAGGTCTTTCATTGAGTTCCTTGGTCGTTTGGGGTTCGTCTCACAGCTGCTTGTCTGGCTGAAGCCGTGCTTGTCTCCTTTGTTTGCATGGGCCGCCGTGGTGGCCCCGGGCACTGTGGGGAAGCTGCCTGACACTGTGATTCTTACTTTAAAGTACATCGACTTGGAATTAAAGGGTGAGACCTTCTTGATTTCTGTTAAGAGGCCCGTTGTGGTTTCGCGCGAGATCTTCAGGACTGACGCAAAATGCACTGACGACTTGGTGGTCTTGGGGGGTTGGAAACTTGACACTAGGAGATGGTTCTCATTAAGGTCAACGCAGCGTGATGTCCCGTTCTTTTTCCAGGAAGGGAAGGGGGCAATGTGGGCATCGACCTCGGCGGAGCTCTTAGCATCTTTGGTTGCCCTCGGTGTGTTCGGTTGGATCACGCAAGGGAAGCACCGCAAGTCGGTTCCTGTGGTGCTTGCAGCAGGCACAGATAACCGTGCCAACGATGTGTTATCAACCAAGCGCACGACGACGAAATGGCCCCTCATGGCCATAAACATGCAACTCTCATCTGCCATCGCCAAGGCAAGACTTTCGTTAGACCTGAGATGGAGAGCAAGGGAAGAGAACGAGGAGGCTGACAGCCTCACCAATGAGGTCTTCGATGCATTTGACTTGAGCAAGCGAATTCCAGTGTGTTTCTCGGATATCGACCTTTCCACGGTCTTCGCCCTTTGGGAGACAAAGCGGGAATTCGAGGAGTTAAAGGAACGAGCCAGGCTCGCTAGGACCAAGGTTCCCCTGGCCAGAGTTAATAAGAGGGTTGATAAGTCTCCTTGGTGATCCCTAGGTCCTGCTTTCTAAATTCACCAGGAATCTCTCTAAAGTGGGGGCTCTTTTGAGATTCCTTCAATGAGATTTGTTTGCAGTTGAGCCCTCAGAAGATTGGCACGCACCAGGTGCCAAATGCAGTTCGTGCATGTTTCGTAGGCTTCCAGACATAGTGCAGGACTTCACCACCTTCGCGTAAAAAGGGAAAGTGCTTTGCTTTCAGCTTTGCAGTTTCTTGTGATGTTTCGTGTTTGGCGCACAACGGCGTTTGCATTTCACCTTTGAATTCTTGCCTGTATTTCTTGAGTGTTTGCACTCGTGCTACGCGAACTTCTAAGTACACGCGCCTCCCCCCCC